ATTGTAAAATGTATAGTATATTGTATGTTACAAATTGTACAATATATTTGATGTTATTTACATTTCATCAAGTATATTTTACTTTGTTGTGCAATATTTCATCTATTGTTAATTATGTAGAAAAGTTAGGTATAAGTGATTGTAAAATGTATAGTATATTGTATATTACAAATTGTACAATATATCTGATGTTATTTACATTTCATCAAGTATATTTTACTTTGTTGTGCAATATACCATGTATTGTGAATTATATAATAATTACATATATTGTAAATTATAAATATTATAATTATAATGTTAGACTGCGGATTTTTCGTGCGTTTCATCATAATTTGAATCTTTGTTAATGTAATTAAAAAAAAAAGACAAAAAAAAAGTAGAAAATCTAAATACAAACTTTTATAAAATATTCTATTGTAATTATTATATGCAATTTCTATATTTTTCCACCGTAAATGCATAAAAATCCACACTCCAATAATTAAAAGATGAAAAAAATATTAAAAATAACGTGCTACTGATATAATCTTTTGACGTATCTTGTTACTGCTTATTGTATTAATAAAAACAATTTAAACAATTTAAAAAATTGTGCAGAATTAATTTCTCTATGTTGGATAATTACACAGATACCCGATCAAAAGGCCAATATTTAAAATATTTACAATGTTAAAGATAAAATATCACTGACATAATTTTTTGATGTATTTTGATGTATTGTGTCAATAGAAATAATGAAACTTTAAAAAATCACGTGGAATTAATTTCCCTGTAATTTTATTATATTTTTATTATATTATATTATTTATATATATTATACTCTTATGTTATATTATTTATACATATTATATTCTATTATTTATATTATATTCTTCGCAAGTTACACAAGGCTCGATTGTTAACTTAATGAAACAGATAAAAAAAAGAGAGAAAGACATGTCAATAATTTAAATTTTTTCGCGAATTTCGCCACAGAGATTAGTTAAAATAAAGAGCAATCAATTGTGAAAATGGCGTTACCTTTCCAGATTTGACGTTCTCGGCGCATCGTGGACCGTACTGAGGCATACCAAGAGCAACTTCCAACCACGCCAAGACCGTAGGTGCCCTCCATCGTTCCATCGGCACGGACGCTGCTTCCCTGAGCAAACGAAGCTTCTCAGCGTAGCCTTCCTCCGTCAGCGGCGACCACGATCTAGGATCGACACTGTCGGAGCCCTCGTTACTTCCGCTACCGCCGCTCGAGTTGTTCGCTGCCTTTCGATGCCGCGTGCGGGCGAACACTCTGAAAACCGAGACGAAGAAACTGCTCTTTGAGCTAAGAAGGTGCTACACACTTCGTGCGAGGGCACGAACGCTCCAAATTAACTTTGTAACTCTGTCGATTCGTCTCTCTGTCGAAAGTGGCAAAATAAAATAACATAAACATCATTTTTCTCTACACGATTCATAATAATGTTCAGGGATGGGCAAGTAGTTTGCTCTCATTTCCATTATGACGAAATAATTCACGGGAGTGCAACTGACTAGGTAGGTCCACTATCAAATTGAACATTAACTCAGTTCAATGGTTCAATTTTTATAGCCTCTTCGAAATTACGTCGAATTAATTATTTTATTTTGAAGGGATGTGACACGAAATAACTGACAAGCTATTTCTTCTTTTCTAAATTCTTGACTTTGACCATTTTCGTAATTACCGGCATATTTGTCAAATTACTTGTCAACTGATATTCCTATAATACGTTGAACGTGATAATGTAATAAAAAATCTTCACGAAGTAAACTAATTTTTTAAATATTTTCTTTAAAGAGAAAAAGTGATACCACTCGTAACAATCATTCTTATTACATATAACAATATTAAATGCATAGACAAAAGATGTTCTTATTTTTTTTTTATGCATACATTGGAGAGTTTCTCTTTTTCCCGCTAGTCACGATTCTCATAAGTTTACCATTCTTTAGCGACCTCCAAAAAGTCGATTAATAGTCTTCCGATGGAAAGTGTTGAGAGAAGTATGAACCAATGTTTTATCATTGTAAACTCATTAAGAAATTATTGATAAAGTTATCATTGTAAATCAATCAATAAATATTGATGTAACATAATTGTAAACTATTAATAAAATTTATCATTGTAAACTAATTAAGAAAATATTAATAAAATTATCATTGTAAATCAATCAATAAATATTAATGTAACATAATTGTAAACTATTAACAAAATTTATCATTGTAAACTAATTAAGAAAATATTAATAAAATTATCATTGTAAATCAATCAATAAATATTAATGTAATATAATTATAAGCTGTTAATAAAATTTATCATTGTAAGCTAATTAAGAAAATATTAATAAAATTATCATTGTAAATCAATCAATAAATATTAATAAAGTAATATAATTGTTAACTATTAATAAAATTTATCATTGTAAGCTAATTAAGAAACTTATCATTGTAAACCAGTTAATAAATATTAATGGAACATAATTGTAAACTATTAATAAAATTTACCATTTGTAAACTAATTAAAAAAATATTTAAAAAACATTAAACTAAATTAAAAATACTATATAAGTACAAAAGTACAAAAGTACTATATAAAAGATACGACGAGCAATCTATCTCTCTCTATATATTCATTCTACTATATATAAAAATTTCATTTTACAATCAAAGTTTTGATGTTTTAAAACGCTCGCGCTTTCGAATCTAAACCCGCTCGACGGTTATAACGTCCTCTTATTAAATGTAACAGCAGCATTGATCAACCGGAATCGCCGCAATTTCCGCGATTTATTGTTATTTCATGGAAATCCAGCGGCGACCCAAATATGCTGGCCGGACAAAGCGTTTAATCCTGTCGAGTCGATGGCGTATATACTCGTATCCTACAGTCCTCACCTAGAAATTGAGCCCCAAGTGCCACCGCGGGTCGCGGAGGAGCGCGAGGCAGGTGTCGCGACAGGTGTGCTCTGCTTGCTTCTCCTCGGCTCTGATTCCAACGGGCTCGACAACTGCTCGACCGAACGCGACAACACGGAATTGTCCATGGACCTGGAGAACGCGTTCAGCGGCGACAGCGTCGGGCTGCAGTCCTTCGGCGTGGTCGCTGCTGAAAATTAATAACGTCAGAAGTGAAAACGTAAAAGAAGAAGAAGAAGAAGAAGAAGAAGAAGAAAAAAAAAAAAAAGAAAACACTGAAACTCCAAAAATTTTCGCTCGTCCCCTTTAATGTTTCTCTCCGAGAAACGAGAATCTGCAGAGGACATTCTGATGCAACATAAAGAACGCAACGGCCCCACGATTTTCTGCACGTGAGGCAGAAACCAGAGAGAGTTTCGTGGCGTTCCGGTTCTCCTTGATTTCAATGTTATCATCGCCGAGGAGGACGGAGGATGCAGAGCGATTACGACCGGAGCTTTCGAGGATTACATATTATAAAAGATGTTATTATATAATATTACATATTATAAATGGAGCATCATTTTATTTTTTTTTTTTTAAATATATTTACATATTAGACGAAAATTTATATTACTATTCATTTAAATTAAATTATGTTCGATTAATTGGTAGAATTATTTTATTCACATCAACAGCAACTGCAATTTTTAGGATACGTATTACCACGAGGACAAATATCATTCTGAGGAGCAATAGTAATTACTAATTTATTATCAGCGTTACCTTATATTGGAAAAATAATTGTTCCGAAATTAGAAGCGACATTTTGCAATCGAATTGAGGGAAACACACGGTGACGTTGTACTTTCCTGAAACTCTTTACGTATGTATAACAGTGACATTACGCTACATATCGTTGCAATTTTTTTTTCTTTCTTGACGCGATAAAAACGTTGATTCGTGTGTGTGTGTGTGTGTGTGTACGCAGAGTATTATAACATGTGGATACGTGTCTTTAGTTTCTGGCTGCTGCAACACGTGCATGCGCATGCATCGGCCGTACAACACACACAATTAGCCGATTGTTAGAGCAAAACCACGGTATAATGGACCTTTAATATTAATTACCATTTGCGACCGGATCGGGTGGGCAAATCAACCAACACGACAGACAGAGACGCAGTTCCTCACGACCAATGACGATCGATTGCTCTCAAAAGCAGCCGCCTAACTAACGGGTACAATAATAATGCAAAACATACATACCGGTGACTGGAGGAATTATTTTACGTACGAAGAACTCTCTCGATGATGGAGAGTCGTTCTTGCACGTGGGATTGTCGTGTGAAGCATGTTGGCACAGTGAGCGGATAAAAAAATATTGTTTCTCAATAAAGTAAATGACGAGTGATTTGTTTTAGAACTACGCGTTATCTACGAAGCGGCAATTTCTCGACACTCGTTAGTTTCTTGGTAGTGTTGTTTATTAAGTAAAGAATGATTCTAGTAGCTTTCACAAACTTTTAAAAAAGTTTCCCTCCCCCCCCCTCTCCTCGTTATACACGCCTAAATACCACAACTCCATCGTCAAGCAAAACGATCGATTTCGGACGAAGGAGACCAGCGAGAAGCAGACATTCAATCGTAAAATAGTTCGGATAGAGAAAGAAACAAAGAAGAAAACAGTTCGGCAGAAGAGAAAGAGAGAAAGGAACACACAGAAACAGAGAGAGAGAGAGAGAGATAGAAGCACACGGATCCTTCTCCTCCTCCTCCTCCACCCAGTCGAAGACAGAAAGAAAGTCAAAGTCAAAGTAGAGAAGAAAGAAAGAAAGAAAGAAAGAAAGAAAAGAAAAAAAAAAGGACGACGCTGAGAAGATACGGGTAGGAGACGACGATCAACGATTTATGTTTTGGACACTTACACTGGTACATGTGGGATGGTGCAATGGAGGAAACCACGGAGATGCTGTCCATGTCGAGACCGCTTCCCTCGACCGTAATTGTCGGCGTGCCTGCGCGGAAATATAATAAAGTAAAAAAAAAAACGTATGCATGTGTCTCGTTGCACCGCGAGATCCACGTCACTTCGCACGCGCGCGTCTAGATCATTTATATATATATTTCCCCCGGTGGTTCGAAACGGAACTCGTTCGTTTTCTTTTACTTTCTCGTTTTTTTTTTTTTTTTTTTTTTCACGTTTGCGAAAATCACAGAGTCAAAGGTTACGGCTTGGATAGGCACAAATTGGGGGAAGGCTGCTCGTTACTGGCATTGGCAAACTCGATTTTGTCTATTTGGGGCTGAGGGGACACGTCACGGATATTCTACTAATGTAAATTTATTTTGGAACGGGGCTGCCTGCTTGTTCTTTATGTTGCACATTTTATACTTACGTTGTGAAGGTTCCGGAGGCAGATATTATACAGGGATGGATAATGAGATCACGTTCAATTCGATATTTACATTTCTCTCTGTAGAGAGAGAGAAAGAGAGAGAGAGAGAGAGAGAGAGAGAGAGAGAGAAATATTCAGACGAGAAATCTACGAGCAAGGCAAAACAGATAAATACAAAGTGAGTTAACCTCTTGCGCTGGAATGGCGTGCAATCTTTTTGTCCCAAATGTTGCAACATTTTCTCAGTTTTAAGTATAGTTGAATGTAACCCAGGCAAAACAAACCGATCAGTTTATTACTTCTTAGTAATTTCTATCTATTCAGTGATATCACACCGGCGAAAGGAAGAAGAAAGCGACGATTTATTGTATACGGATTCGGTCACTCGTTATGGTCCGCGCAACCAGTTGCCAGCGCAAAGGGTTAGCGGGGGTTCTGGTAACCGAGATTTTCCAACAGAAATGCGAGAAAGTGGATCGTGAGTAGCAGGAGGACAAGGCCAGTGTTTCAGTAGATAATTATTTTCCTTTCTTCTTCTTTTTTTTTTTTTTTTTTTTTTTTTTTAAGGGAAATGGAACTTTATCGTGCAAAATTAAATTATTGAATACAGCTTGTTTTCAAGTTCTGAATCTCAATAGTAGAATAGCGATGAAGGGTTAATCGTCCCAAGTAAGACAACATGTTCCTTAACCCCTTAAGCGTTTATATGTCGAGTGCACTCGTCACGAGAAGGAATTTTCTTCGTTTAATGTCGAATATACTCAAGTAAACCATGTGAAAGAGAAATTCGCTTTTGTTATTTATCGTAAAGTTGAAACTATTATATACATTTGTAAGTTTAGCACGTTTCAGAATACTTCAAAGGCAACAAAACAAAAAAAAAAAAGAAAAAGGTTAAACTAAACTGAAGAGGAGAATGAATGAGTGATCAGACGAACTTCTAACGAAAAAAAAAGCTACGGTACTCACTCGAAATTGGGCAAAGAGATTCGCTAAGGATCGAACGCACGGACTCGGATTGTTTCATATCAACGCACCGCCTAATTCAGACACCGTGCACATGCATAGTGATCGCAGCACGTACGTTCTGTTTGTCCTAAATCAAATCGATCAATTGGCCTTAATGCGCGGCCACGAGGAACTGGTTGAATAATACACGGATGGAAATGCTTTCGATTAGCAGCCACCACCTCCGATTAGCATTCGCGGCTGATGAAAACTCATCGTACCTCCGCGTTCCTTCACTCTCGTTTCTCTTCGCTTTCTTTCCGCCCTTTCTTCTTTCGTCGACCCGACGGACGCACGGTAATGCACTTTAACTGGACGATTAATCTCGCCGGTTCTATGCACCTAAGCGTAAGAATCATCGCGTCCCGGCCACTCGACACTCTGATGAATAATAATGGCGATTGTATTATGCCAGCGAGATATAGCTTCGCGACTGGAAAGCTACCTCATTCCCCCGGGAGGGGAGATTTTTCTACGATCGATATGAACGATGCAGAATGTGTCGAAAGATCATTTTGATATTCAGCAAACTCTTGGACAGACTGTCGAGTATTTTTCGCGCGAGATTCTGTGGAAATTTCGAAATTTTCATTCCCCGCATTTCTCTGATTTCGCTGCACTTCTACGTATGTATATGTTGATTTATATCTTCACATCACCGATAGAAAATGAATACGAAACGTCAGGCAACGTTACGTTAAATTTCGATCGAAATTTAAATAAGAGGTAAGTCTCACGTGATGTATAAATCTTCTTGTATAAATAATTAATCCACTTCCTTCTGTGGTGAAACCATAACGAGATCTTGTCAAATATTTTCTAAACCTACCACTTAATCAGAATCGAACTTTCAGTCCTATGTGACGCATCAATTATAATTTTCCAGTGTTACGAGACAATAAACAATTTAAAAAAGGATCTCTTTTTCAGTTCAATACTTTGATATCTTGTTTCACGATGATTGAAATTTTGATATCTATCGCATGAATCAAAATAGTATTGGCACGCCTAGTTCTTCTTGCGATATTTTTGTGAAAACAAATGTTAACATGTAACAACGTTATACGTGTATATTGTATATTGTATATCTCCAATAACGAGACTACGGATTTTTATGCATATTTAAATTTTACACACAACGAACACTATTACACAGCATTTTAAACGCCATTAGCGAAATGGAAATTGCTTCCAGATAAAAAATTGCTTCTTCCATATAAAATACCTTCCTTTAGATATTATATATATATATATATATATATATATATATATATATATATATATACTTTCCATATAAAATTAATATATATAAAATATAAAATATCCAAAGGAGGGTATTAATATATAAAATTAATATAAAATTAATATATATAAAATATAAAATATACAAAGGAAGGTATTAATTTTATATTTATAAAAATTTTATATATATATAAAATTAATATATATAAAATTTTTGTAAATATAAAATTAATATATATAAAATTAATACCTTCCTTTGGATATTATATATATATATGTATTTGTACAATTCGTATTGTGTGCATTTCTGCAGCTTCTACAAATTTTTCACAAATTCGCATAAAAATCCGCGGTATACCAATAACTAATTATTGGAAATTGTTGCTATGCACGTTGCTCTCGAACCATTCGTTCGAAACAGATTTTGCCCAACATACCTTTTCACAAGGATATCGTCGAAATGCCAATACTTGTATGTCAAGATCAATAGACAAACAGAAACAACGATAATTAACCCTTTCGCCATTGAACCTCACGTGAAAAAAAAGTGTACACATTGATCGAATCATTTCCTGAGTCCGTTAATAGGTTTTGAAATAGAATCTCTTTTGAATTTCCTGACAAGGGCCTGGAATGGTTTTTTTTTTTTTAAACAAACTTTAATCCTTTCAAAAATCAAACCTAACCTAACCTAACAAAAATCTAACCTGAAATTTTTAAGAGGTCAACAGTTATACATTACAGCTAATCTTTTCTAAATTGCAATAAATTAACCAATAATATAATTCAAATGATGATAATTAAAATAAATAGATCCATACAAACATGTTTCTGTCTAAATGGAAATCAATATTAATTTAATATTGTAATAAAAATACCAGTATCTTTTAAGCAATTGTAGAGAAAGAAAAGGGCCTAGAATGTTTTTTTTTTAAACAAACTTTAATTTTTCAACATAACCTAACAAAAATCTAACCTTAAATTTTTAAGAGGAGAATAGTTATACATTACAGCTAATCTTTTCCAAATTGCAATAAATTAACCCGTTTCTTCAATATTCTACACGTATAATTCAAATGATGATAATTAAAATAAATAGNTCCGTACAAACATGTTCCTGTCCAAATGGAAATCAATATTAATTTAATATTGTAACAAAAAATACCAGTATCTTTTAAGCAACTGTAAAGAAACAAACGGGCCTAGAATGTTTTTTTTTTTTTTTTTAAACAAATCCTTTAATCCTAACCTTAAATTTTTAAGAGATCAACAGTTACACACTACAGCTGATCTTTTCCAAATTGCAATAGATTAACCGGCCTTCAATATCAAAATATCAAATGATACATAAACAATTAAAATAAATGGAAATCAACGTTAATTTAACACAAAAATACCAATGCTCTTTGAAGCAATCGCAAAGAAAGAGAAATCTAGGAATCCGTCAGGTTGTCCTAGCTAGTTGAGGAAGATTTTTCATTACAACAATCTCTTGCAACAATCTTTAAATATTCTACCAAATATCCGTGAAATCGAAAGAAATAGAAAAAAGCTCTTCTTGATGGCTAAATCATAGTAGTGTACTTTTAATGTGCCTTTGATTGACTCCAAAATACCTAATATATCCGGCGTTTGTGCGTATAGATGGTCGCGTGTAGTATGCTGTACATATATATATATATATATATATATATATATATATATATATATATATATATATATATATATATATATATCCGGCGAGTGTAATGAAAGGATTAAAACACGAACTACGCGTTATATATACACACACACACATAAATATCTTACCGTCGGTAGTGGAATCGGAGAGATTTCCACCGACGCTGGTCGCGCCGCCGCTTTCTCTGTCGCTGGATCCTCGGACACCGCTGTCGGCGCTGCAACTTCCGCGATCGCCCGCCTGCCCGCCGGAAGAGCCCACACCTGCCGCATTGCCAACGTTCCCAACGGTCACTCCTAGCTCCGTGCTGCCTAATGGCGGTTGAGAATTCATATGAGGGATGATACCGCAGCCACCGCCGCCGCCGCCGCTGCTACTTCCGGCGCCCGGTGTCGCCGCGCCGTTCACGCTGCCCCTCGGGAACGAGACCAAGGATTCCTGGTCGCTCAAGCAGATACCGCCGCCGCCGCCTCTTTCCGCCAATTGGCGCTGCAACTGTACATACCGGCGCCTCTCTCTTTGAAATACGAGGAATTCCAGGAGAAAGGAATTTTTAGGAAATTCCCATTCTTTCGCCGTTGGAATACGAATATACAATTTGGTGGGAATTCGTGGAAATTTCGCGTATTCCGCTGGCAACAGAAATTTCGCGCGTCTTTTGATAATTAGTAGCGATCTACTCTGCACTTTGGACATTGTTTTTTTTTTTCTTTTCTTTGGTTGGTTCTTGGTATTTGTATTCAGCTTCATTAGACGAGACGAGAATCAAATTGGTTAGAATATTTATTCGAGAATGATGAATATCTATTTCGTAAATTCAGCGTTATGTTAAATGTTTTAAAGTTGAATTGAAATGATTTCGCTCTGACTTTCGAACGAATGTTTGTCATTTTAATTTCATTTAATTTAGACGAAGATGAAATTATTTCGAAAATGAACAAATACTTTTTTTTTGTTAACTTCAGTATCATACTAAATGTTGTAAAATTGAATTAAAAAGATTTCTGAAACGCAGAGCACATCACTCTGACTTTCGAACGAATATTTGTCATTTTAATTTCATTTAATTTAGACGAAGATGAAATTATTTCGAAAATGAACAAATACTTTTTCTTTGTTAATTTTAGTATCATACTAAATGTTGTAAACTTGAATTAAAAAGATTTCTGAAACGCAGAGCACATCACTCTGATTTTCGAACGAGTATTTGTTATTTTAATTTCATTTAATTTAGACGAAGATGAAATTATTTCGAAAATGAACAAATACTTTTTTTTTGTTAACTTCAGTATCATACTAAATGTTGTAAAATTGAATTAAAAAGATTTCTGAAACGCAGAGCACATCACTCTGACTTTCGAACGAATATTTGTCATTTTAATTTCATTTAATTTAGACGAAGATGAAATTATTTCGAAAATGAACAAATACTTTTTCTTTGTTAACTTCAGTATCATACTAAATGTTGTAAAATTGAATTAAAAAGATTTCTGAAACGCAGAGCACATCACTCTCACTTTCGAACGAATATTTGTCATTTTAATTTCATTTACTGTTATTGGATGAGACGAAGATAAAATTATTTAGGAAATGACATTTTGATTATTCAAAAGTCAGAGTGATCGTTTTAATTTCATTGTTCAATTTCAGAGCATTACTCATTCAATATTAAAACAAGTGAAAATTGGTTGGCTTGCAGAATATTCAGAATACCGTGCGAGGCTCGCGAAAACTGATGCTATGCATTGCGTTTTCGAAAATAACGCAGAGCATATTGATATTTTTGCAAAATTCTCCGAAGAAAGTCTGGAGCTCGAGAAGCGCTCGCATCATCGATCAGTTTCGTTGAATTTTCCATCGTTGGGAACAGAAACTCGGAGCGGAAATTTTGGGACACGCGTGACTCCCCAGCCCATCAGTTTTAAACTCGTTAGCCGTCGGCCCGTTTATGCACAGCGTGGAAGACAATTTCAGGGTGGCTCAAAGCGAGGCTCACCCTCCGCGTAATTGCACGCGCGCGCAAAGAGTCGCTTCTTACCTAAATGTTGCCAATCGATCGGCTGGTCGATTTTTTCCAGACGTCACTGCCAACCCCAAACAGAGTCTCGCCAAGAAATAAGTTTCTCCCTCTCTTGACTCGACAAACAAAAATTCTAAAATTCCGAGGGACACCGTCCATTCTTTCGATCTTCTTCAAAGAATTTGCTTGGTATCGAAAAATCAGATTAAGAAATCGAGAATTGACCGACTTTCAGAAATTTCTCTCGCGTAACATCGTATATAAATGGAAAACCAAACGCGAGAGTTCTCGCAAGAGTCTTCTAGCAAAGTTGTAATATTCTTCTCAGTTCCAAGTATATATTTAAGTAGAACAAATAGTGAAATTTATTCTCATTGATTTCAGTGATGTTATTACCGGCGAGTTCGGAAAAACGAAAACCGACGAATTATTGTGATACATACGGCTCTGGTCACTCGTCGCAACCACGAGGAAACCAGCGCAAACAGGTGAAAAAAAAAAAATTGTTGCCAAATGTTTGCAACGCGAGGGTTGCGAATTGTGTCTCGTCGTTTTCTCCCCGAATGCGGCGCCACTCTTTGCGAAACGCTTCAACCAACCGCCGCCAAAGTGATTAAATTCATCAAGTCGGCTCGCCGAGTAACGCGCGTAATAATGCACGCGCTGGGGGACAAAGCGGGTCAGAGTGGAAGGAGAGAAAGAGAGGGAGAGAAGAGGAAGAAAAAAAAAGGAAAGAAAAGAAAAGGGGGCTCACCTCTTTTATAGTCGCGTGTGCGTGAGAAAGGGCGGCTTCTTTGTCGGCCAAACTAGCCGCGAGGCTGAGACTTCGATCGGCCTCGTCCCTCGCTGCCCTCAGAAGACTCCAGCGCTCCCTCTCTCTCTCGCGTTCGCGCTCCTCCGAAGGTATGCCGACTCCTTGCTGCTGAAGGCGTCCTAAAGTCGCCTCGTTCTCTCGCATCCGCTGTAATCAACGGTCAAAGAGACCCATATCCGGGCAGTAATTCCACCCAAGAACCACCACCGTTTAACAATGCATGCAGCAGCCCAGCCACAAAGTGTCAAAGACGCCTTTTGTAGACACACACACACACACACACACACCCCCCCCCCCCTCCCCTCCCGGCAAACAACAGTGCGCGCGCGATGTGTGATTAAAAGTGGTACGCCGCTCCGATCGTAATTATGCCTCTGCTCTGCGTCTTCATTAAATTTCGACGGAATTTCGAAAATTCATCAAATCGCGGAATTTCGGAAGTCAAAGTGATCCACAGCGGTCACCAGGATCAGTCGATCGAGATTTATTCGGATTCTCGCGAGAGTTGGATTTAATTTCTGATCGCTAGTGAAATTACTTTTTGTATGAATACAATGAATTTGGGTTATTATTTAATTTTGTTAATTAAACTGACTTCGTTCGACCATCTGTAGAGTTTCTGTCTATTGTTGATTAATTTTATCATTATCGACACTAATACTATCAGATAAATTTCTATTAGAGACATTAAAGTAAAAAAAAAAGAACTTTATAGTACAATATTTATTTATATCTATTTATTTATACACTTTAAAGTCACTTGAATCTCGAAAAATATACATCTGTAAAATATCCAACAAAAATTACAAATTTGTTATTTTGACCATTTTGGTAGTTCTAGTGTTAATGATAATTATTGATTTAATCTTTTTATTATTATTATTATTAATTTAACTGACTTCGTCCGACTATCTAGAGAGTTTCTGTCTATTGTTGATTAATTTTATCATTATCGATAATAAACAATAATATTAACACTAATACTATGAGATAAATTTCTACTAGAGACGTTAAAGTAAAAAAAAAAAAAGAACTTTATAGTACAATATTTATTTATATCTATTTATTTATACACTTTAAAATCACTTGAATCTTTAAAAATATACATCTGTAAAATATCCAACAAAAATTACAAATTGGTCATTTGGACCATTTTGGTAGTTCTAGTGTTAATGACAATTATTGATTTAATCTTTTTATTATTATTATTAATTTAACTGATTTCATTTGACTATCTATAGAGTTTCTGTCTATTGTTGATTAATTTTGTCATTATTGACAATAATACTACTAATGACACTAAAACTATGAGATAAATTTCTATTAGAGACGTTAAAGTAAAAAAAAAAAAAATAATAATAAAGAACTTTATAATACAATATTTATTTATTCACTTTAAAATCACTTAAATCTTTAAAAATATACATCTGTAAAATATCCAACAAAAATTACAAATTGGTCGTAATTTTGACCATTTTGGTAGATCTAGTGTTAATGACAATTATTAATTTAATCTTCTTATTATTATTATTAATTTAACTGACTTCGACCATCTATAGAATTTCTGTCTACTGGCCAATTTTGTCATTACCGACAATAATATTAATAATTACTAATTTAATCTTTCTATTGTTGTTACTATCTATAGAGTTTCTATCTATCATTGATTAATTGCAGAAAGTTAATTTTTCCACTTTCGATTGCTCAAAGACTGACACACATCACGAAAAATTTCTCCGAGGGGGCCATTTTCATTCCTCTTCATGGTCACGCCGTTTTTCTTCACGTAAAATTCAATCAGCTTCGGCGATGGAATCGTTGAGAAATGTTCGAGAGATTCTCGAACAAAGAATAATCTCACGGTGCGTTGTAACCCAGGAGAGATTTCTTTTTTTTCCATCGACTCTTCTCTGTCACCTTTCATTCTTTTTCTCCCCTCCGTGAAGAACCCCACTCTCGGTCGACAGCGTGGTAACTCGATGCAGGTGCAACTTGTCGCTTATTTACAGGTGTCGTGTACCTTTCGCCTATTAGCCGCTAGGATATCAGCTACGGAGAACTTAATCCACTTATCTCTTCTCCACCCCCGAGGCCCGAAGGAACTTCACCGTGCGTATAACAGGTGTTGCAGGCTGGTTTATCGGCTAAACTTCGGGACAACGCGATTACTGCCACTCCAACGGGTCGGTCAGGTGTTGCCCGTCGGCGGGTCAACATTTCCAAGTTAAAAACACGCTTTGCCTGCCGGCTGTCACGCGGAAAGTCACGGGTGCGTGCACGCGTGAAGATACGCGACAAGTTTCGCATCGCGTCTCGTTTTTTTCTTTTTTTTTTCTGACCAAAATCATCTCCGTAACGAAAAAATTTCGTTATGGAACTTACCGAACGATGGAACTTATCATCGTTCAATTAATTAATAATTCGATGTTCCTCGCGAACAAATATTCAGCAAATTTCCTTTATTTAGGAAAAATTATCAGTCCTTCGATCGATTATTTCTGTTCCTGTCATACCTGTCGTATCTGTATATTTAGTAAATTTACCGTTTCGTTCGGAAGAACTGACGAACAGTATTGATTTAATTAATTCTTAAATTCGATTTAGGAAAGGATGATGGCCTATTTTAAATCGCGAGTTTCTTCTCGGTTTTTTTTTTTTTTCAACATAGTAACCTACAATATTGTAAAAAATAATACGTAACAATGATATATAATGCACGATATGAAAATAGACGATAATTTTCACGTGATTCATAAAACAGTGGAAGAATTACGTGAACATTTTAGCGTTATCATATTGATTTTCAAACGTTATGTAACATAATTGTGAATCGCGTGAAAGTTATAAATGTTTTCATACTGTGCATTATATATCATTATTACGTATTATTTTTTGTAATAATATATATTATTATACGTATATATATATATATATATATATATATATATATGTGTGCATAGTATATATATTAGTATTATATAGTATATATATAGTATATAGTATAGTATATGTATATATATAGTATATAGTATATATATAGTATACGTATTATATATATTTATTATATATATTATATATATTAGTGTACGTATTATACGTATACTAATATATATAATATTATATATTATATATATATATATATATTAGTATACGTATTATTTATATATATTTATATTATACATTAAAAAATACAGAGAAACACTCGCGATCTATAATAAAAAAATTTTTTTTTTTATTATGTTTAATTCGTTGAATAAAAATTTATTTTATTTTACTTCGAAAGTAAGTAAATCCCATAAATAACCATTATCCTACAATTTCTAAGTGTAAATTAATTGCGTCGTCAAAACCGAGATTCAACCGACGAATTAGAGGAACGTGAAAAAAAAATTACTACGCTTGGAGAAGAAAATTACTAGCGTGATAAGAATTTTATTTGAATGCACACACACACACACACACACACACACGCATAGGTTAATCGTATTTCCTCGCTAACGGGTTAAATATCATCGACGAGGAGGATCGTAAGACAATGTGTGCTCGTGCTCGTGCATAATGAGAGATGAAAGAAAATGCTTGCGCCCGAGGGTCTTAGGGCAGATCCTCTTCCTCCTGGTTTCCTTCAATTTTCTCTTGCTTTATCCTTCTTCCGTGTGTTGTCCGTGCATCACGCGTAATCCACCTCATCAGCAAGGAGCGTCACGTCGACGTGACATAATTCTCCGTGGGAAGTCTTTGCTGCCTCTCCGCACTTTCGTCTGGATGATTTCAGATCCGCTTGTTCTCTTTCTTGTTCGACACGCGGATTGATGTGACAATGGACGTCGCAACAGCGACAAACGTCGAGGAACTTCGCTTGTTTCAGGAGCTTTCGAAACCCTGTACTTTCGAATGAAAATGTCTAAATTTTTATTCAACGAAAACTTTATCTTCTTTGATGTCGAATGAATGATTCTTCACGAGCAGAACACATTGTGTGCTCTTTTCATTTTCATAAGAATTTGCGAGAATTGTTGTTCGAAACATTCTTTTAAAATCTCTAACTGTACTCATCCTTTTATTTTCTAATAAATATTAGCTACTTTGTAAGAAAACCTTTTCACAAAAATTGAACAGACACGTGTTTGAAAATGGCCGAAATATTTGTACTTGCGAAATAAAATAAAATAAACTTTTATTATACTAACTAAATATTATTACATTATATAATATAATATTATATTATACTATAATTACTATAATTATAGTATATACTAATACTTTACTATGTACTAATTATAGTATACTATATATTATAATTATATTATACTATAATATTATATATGTATTAATATTAATATATAATATATTATAATGTTATATATTAATATTATATTATATTAACGAAAATTTTATCTTTCTCAATATCAATCGAATGAATTTTCATTCATTTTAGAATACATGGTATACTTTCATAATATTTTTTTTTCTAATTGCAAGAATGTATACTATACTGTAATATTATATGTGTATACTGTATACTATAATATTATATATGTATTAATATTAATATATAATATATTATAATGTTATATATTAATATTTTATTATATTAACGAAAATTTTATCTTTCTCAATATCAATCGAATGAATTTTCATTCATTTTAGAATACATGGTATACTTTCGTAATATTTTTTTTTCTAATTGCAAGAATGTATACTATACTATAATGTTATATGTGTATACTGTATACTATAATATTATATATGTATTAATATTAATATATATTATATTATAATATTACATATTAATATTATATTATATTAACGAAAATATTATCTTTCTCAATATCAAACGAATGAATTTTCACTCATTTTAGAATACATGGTATATTTTCATAATATTTTTTTTTCTAATTGCAAGAATGTATACTATACTATAATATTATATGTGTTTACTGTATACTATAATATTATATATGTATTAATATTAATATATAATATATTATAATGTTATATATTAATATTATATCATATTAACAAAAATTTTATCTTTCTCAATATCAAACGAATGAATTTTCACTCATTTTGGAATACATGGTATACTTTCATAATATCTTTTTTTTCTTAATTGCAAGAATGTTGTTCGATACGAATTCTTTTAAAATTTCCTAACTTTATTCATTCCTCCACTTTCCAATCTAAAAAAATTAACTACTTTGTACAGCAAAAATTGAGGTCGCGCGGCAGGAAAAGTTCGCTGCGACTCGAGGGATTAATCGCGAAGCTTCGCAGAAACGGACGGATCCGTGAAAAGTTTCCACCGCCGCGGAAAATTTCTTTCGCGTGGAAGAGTTCGTCCGATTCGCCGCGGCTTAAAACGATATTTACGATTATTTACGATCGTTATAGACAGAACGTGCTGTTACTGGATATTAAAGTTTGCCTTTCTCCTTTGCAGTGGATCCTGCGATGATGCATCGTCGTGCCCTTGTGAAAATCCTTCTTCTCTCGCAAAGCCTATCCGGTGCATCGATACAGGCTTCGTGCCCTTATGGCTTTTTGCAAAACCAGCCGCTATTAATCTTCTCTCTTCCCTCCTGTGCATGCATACACGAAAGCTCGTTGCGACGAGAAAAAGAAGAAGATGTGAGATCCGAGACTTCAAATTTTCTCATCAAAATACTTCGAGCTGTCTTTTGTAGCATTTTTCCTTCGGAATCTTCGATTTAACACTGAACGCCGTTTAAACAGTCAAAATTTGATTTGAAATTTTAATTTCAGTGAAAATTTGATTTAAAATTCGTTCTAAAATTTAATTCCTGTTAAAAAGAAACAAGGAAAAAATCTAATTTCTTTTCTTGTTATCCGAAAATTATTTCGTGTATTTTTCTCTGTATGAAATTTCCTGTATTCTTTTCGTAAAAAGACGTTAAAACGATCACAATAGGTATATACGTACATATAAAGTATTGGTACGTAATTATTATTATTTTAGTTAATATCATTCGCGGAGTTAAAGACTGACAAGAAATGTCTTCACTGGTTCAGTATGTTACGCGAGAGACGTAAAACCAAGTGTCAAATTAAAACAAATTTTCGCGGTGGTACACATCCAAATTCGAGTATCACAATGTTTCCAAGTCTCTCTAAAAAGTTATTCTACCCGTCTAGTTTTGGCCCCTTGCACTGGTTGCGCGGATCATAACGAGAGACCGAGCCCGTATACAATGATTCGTTTCTTTTTGGAATGATATTCATATGTATTATAAATATTAATAATATGTATTTGTGATGTTACTATTATCGTTAATAGCGATTATTATCATACCATTGTACTACTAACAATATTATTAACTTGCCTATATTATTAACCTGAACCTAACCTAAACCCTTGCGCTGGCAACTGGTTGCGCGGACCATAACGAGTGACCGAACCCGTATACAATGATTCATTTCTTTTTGGAATGATATTTATATGTATTATAAATATTAATAATATGTATGATATTTATATGTATTATAAATATTAATAATATGTATGATATTTATATGTATTATAAATATTAATAATATGTATGATATTTATATGTATTATAAATATTAATAATATGTATGATATTTATATGTATTATAAATATTAATAATATGTATGATATTTATATGTATTATAAATATTAATAATATGTATGATATTTATATGTATTATAAATATTAATAATATGTATTTGTGATGTTACTATTATCGTTAATAGCGATTATTATCATACCATTGTACTACTAACAATATTATTAACTTGCCTATATTGTTAACCTGAATCTAACCTAAACCTTTGCGCTGGCAATTGGTTGCGCGGACCATAACGAGTGACCAAACCCGTAATGATTCGTTTCTTTTTGGAATGATAACTCGTCGGTATGATGTCACTGGATAAAAATTATTGAGAAGTAATAAACTCATCATTTGCTTTGCCCTGGTCACATTTAAATATACTTGAAACTGAGAAAGTGTTGCAATCTGGGACAAAAGATTGTCGACGTCGTTCCAGCGCAAGGGGTTATCGCAAAATTTGAAATAAATATCGCAAAAAATTCGAAAATTCCAAACAATGCAAAATTCCTCGGAAATTGCTATCCCCGAATATTAAAAATTCCAAGTGTCGAACGATCGTTACTAGGAAATATTGAAACGTTCGAAAAATATGAAAGAAAAACTCGGGTTAATGTGTCGCGTTGAATCGTTAAACAGATCAATTTCAAATTCATATAGTGGCTCGCCTGAACGGTGAATCCACGCGGCGCAATATCGCGAAATATCTTGAAATATTCATGAAAAAAAGCATGAATGCCGGAAACGATTGCTCCGCTTACCAGACGATCCGCGCGTTTATTTACGACAGGAAATCGACTGAAAATCCGGTTGTTCATTTGCCGGGGGAAACTGGAATGACCGCAAGCGTCGTTGCGTCGCCGTTGCAAACGATAACGGTGGCACCAGGGGAAAATGAGAAATTCCAGCAAGTTTAATGAAAGTATTTAACAGGCAAAATTGCTGTCCCGCGCGTAACAGTAAGGAGGGAGAGAGAGAGAGAGAGAGAGATGCGCTTCAGCGAGAGCCACCGCGGAAAATTGAAATGCATTTTCCACCAAAGTGTATTCGTTAAATAAATGTTTTTTCTCTGTCGACCTTTCGCGCGTTGCCTCTTTCTCCTCTTTTTCTCTCTTCGATTAACAACAGCGTTAGGTCGTTTAAAAAGTTACTCCTGCGAGGCGCGAAATATCTTATTAGTCGCGTTTAATTGTAAATCCTCTCCAACGTAATTAATGCTTGGTCTCGTTTTTGTTTTTCTTTTTTTTTTGTTTTTTAATTTCAGGTTCTTTCGCTTCGAACTGTAGATGGTACGTTTTTTTTCTTCAGCTGACTGAATCGCGTTTCCCGTCGACTATGATATATATATTTTTGAAAACCAGTGTTTCCACGCATTTTATTATACTTGAAGTTCCACGTAAAAATCACTCACAGTCACTGGAAATTCTACCGATTTCTTTTTATTGAAAAATTCTATTATCTTCCCGTAAAGATTATTTTTTTAGGAGCAGAGACAAGTTTCCAGCTAACTAGATAGGTGCAAAAAAAAAAACCAGTATTTCTAAAAAAATTCCACGCGTTTTAATATACTTAAAGTTTCACGTAAACATCACTCACAGTCACTGGAAATTCTACCGATTTCTTTTTATTGAAAGATTCTATTATCTTCCCGTAAAGATTATTTTTTTAGGAGCAGAGACAAGTTTCCAGCTAACTAGATAGGTGCAAAAAAAAAAACCAGTATTTCTAAAAAAATTCCACGCGTTTTAATATACTTAAAGTTTCACGTAAACATCACTCACAGTCACTGGAAATTCTACCGATTTCTTTTTATTGAAAGATTCCATTATCTTCCCGTAAAGATTATTTTTTTCAGAGCAGAGACAAGTTTCCAGCTAACTAGATAGGTGCAAAAGAAAAACAGTATTTCTAAAAAAATCCACGCGTTTTATTATACTTGAAGTTCCACGTAAAAATCACTCACAGTCACTGGAAATTCTACCGATTTCTTTTTATTGAAAAATTCTATTATCTTCCCGTAAAGATTATTTTTTTCAGAGCAGAGACAAGTTTCCAGCTAACTAGATAGGTGCAAAAAAAAAACAAGTATTTCTAAAAAAATCCACGCGTTTTAATATACTTAAAGTTCCACGTAAAAATCACTCACAGTCACTGGAAATTCTACCGATTTCTTTTTATTGAAAAATTCTATTATCTTTCCGTAAAAATGATATTTCTCAGAGCAGAGACAAGTTTCCAACTAACTAGATAGGTGCAAAAGAAAAACAGTATTTCTAAAAAAATCCACGCGTTTTATTATACTTGAAGTTCCACGTAAAAATCACTCACAGTCACTGGAACTTCTACCGATTTCTTTTTATTGAAAAATTCCATTATCTTCCCGTAAAGATTATTTTTTTCAGAGCAGAGACAAGTTTCCAGCTAACTAGATAGGTGCAAAAAAAAAAAACAAGTATTTCTAAAAAAATCCACGCGTTTTAATATACTTAAAGTTCCACGTAAACATCACTCACAGTCACTGGAAATTCTACCGATTTCTTTTTATTGAAAAATTCCATTATCTTCCCGTAAAGATTATTTTTTTCAGAGCAGAGACAAGTTTCCAGCTAACCAGATAGGTGCAAAAAAAACCAGTATTTCTAAAAAAATCCACGCATTTTATTATACTTGAAGTTCCACGTAAAAATCACTCACAGTCACTGGAAGTTCTACCGATTTCTTTTTATTTAAAAATTCTATTATCTTCCCGAAAAGATTATTTTTTTCAGAGCAGAGACAAGTTTCCAGCTAACTAGATAGGTGCAAAAGAAAACCAGTATTTCTAAAAAAATCCACGCGTTTTATTATACTTGAAGTTCCACGTAAAAATCACTCACAGTCACTGGAACTTCTACCGATTTCTTTTTATTGAAAAATTCCATTATCTTCCCGTAAAGATTATTTTTTTCAGAGCAGAGGCAAGTTTCCAGCTAACCAGATAGGTGCAAACGAAAAGAAGCATCAATGAGGAGAGCATTACCTGTTCGTAGTTCCTGATGAAGTCCCGCAGCTCTCGTTCCTTGTCCTCGAGGGTGCCGTACAGCGCCTTCATTTGATTAAGAAGATCGAACTTTTCGGCCTTGAGCCTCTTGCGATCGGCCTTAAGTGCCTGGAGAGCTTCTTTGGCGTGTTGCAGTTCCATTTCAAGAGCGACGAACCGCGCCTCCTCCTCGAGTGCCGCGTCCTCAGAGCCGACCTCGCCGCGCGCCGCCCCGCTGAATAGCAATCTCCTCAATCTTGCTACCTCGGCCACCAGGCGTTCGTTCTCCAGTCGTAGCCGCCTCGTGCTGGCCAGCTCCACCGAGCCGGTGCTACCGCCGCCCCCATGAATGTTTGATAACCTCGACGCCACCAACGGATCGCCGATTCCTGCATCCACGCATCGATAGAAATAAATTCCGTTTGAGAGGTGACCGAGAACGCGAGATGGATAGGCGATGGATATTAGATTTTTAGATATTCAGAAATTTATTTAGTAGCTCTTCGAGCTACGATGGTGAATATACAAATGAGTGCAAGAAGTTCAAATGGGAATGATTAATCTGCTCGACGACTGCAGATCCATGCAATGGATCCTAAGTGGAAAATTTGAGTACTTATTAATTAGATGCTGTCTGAAAGATTGCAGAGAGTTCTACGGGAATATAGCGAATTCTAATTTGGATACGGGTGGATTAGAAATTTACAGGTGAAAGGAGCGTTGATCCGTTTCAACGAGGATTATTCGGGGTATCATTCCTGATGAATTCACGACGAATTTGTATTTCGAGTGTTAGTTTCTCTTGGGAAACCATAGCTATATGTGGAACACGTATAGGTATAAATAGGTAGAAATAGTTCAAAGTTATATAAATAACTATAATATAGCTATAAATAATTGTAAAACATAAATAGCTATAGTATAGCTGTAAATAACTGTGAAACATAAATAGCTATAAATAACTGTAAAACATAAATAAATAGCTATAAATAACTAATAAATAGCTATAAATAATTGTAAGACATAAATAGCTATAGTATAGCTCTAAATAACTGTGAAACATAAGTAGCTATAATATAACTGTAAATAACTGTTAAACATAAATAGCTATAAATAACTAATAAATAGCTATAAATAATTAATAAATAGTTATAAATAACTACAACATTAAATTTATAAATATATTTAACATAAATTTAATATAAAATGTGATAGAAATAGTTAAAAGCAATATTTAAGAAATTCACGACCTTTCTGGTTTAATGATTCTGAAGCAAATGTCGGCCAGCCTTTCTACAAAGATGATACAAATTATTGTTTCTCTAAACATTCGCCGAGCCCTCAATAAAACTGATGAAATCCCAACTTGTTTGTTGGGATCCGGCCCAATCGTAAACCGTGGAAAATTGACTTGAACGCAACGGGCTATGTTCTCTCGAACAGTCGCCAACACTTGTGTCCAATTAATACGGAAAGGGTTAAAGTTATCCTCGGCAAACGTCAGCTACAAATGTCCAGCGTGAATGGTTACGCAATTGAAAGACATTTTGAAATAAGGCCTTCGAATCAAGAGAAAAAGCGAGCGAGCAAACGAAGGGCAAGAAAATTTCCAAGAGAACGAAACAAAGAATCTTGAAACGTCTAAAGCCTCCGAGAGAAGAATCTGCGAGACACCCAAGATAAAAAGAAGAAAAAAATATACAAAAGCCTATTCGACCCTTTAGAAGGGAATCAATCCTTTTCTCCATTCCCCAAAAGACACCTTGCTACAATTATCTCAATCGAAAGGACAAACGACGAGTATTCGTCAAGCACCAAAGAGCTGTCTAGAGATAAAACCAGGAGAGCCTGGCTTGATCTCAGAGAAATCGCCGCGATTATTTTAAACAATTATTGTAAAAATCCCCGACAAACCGCGAGCTGGCTGAGCATTCTCGACCGGCAGTCAATGAGTCTTCTTCTCGATCAAGCTCTTTCAATCGACCAACCACGACGTATCATTCTCAAAAATGCAGCAAGATTCCAACGACTGAAAAGCACTCTGTTCCTCTTTCTCTCTCTCTCTCTCTCTCTCTCTCTCTCTCTCTGCTCTGTCAGCCGTCATGCTCGTTTCCGCATTGAAGAAAACTCAGGGTAGGGCATTTATCTGAAGTTCAGCTCCGTTTAATTCCGGGGGAATCGTCGGCGCGGCCGTCGGTGGAACAATCACGAACAGTGAATGTGCCGGGACGAAAGGCTGAAAGGGAACGGCTTCCATAATTAAATGCCGGGTTACCCACCGAGGGAATTAGCTGGCGACGAGGGTCTGCTGCCTGGGGCTGGTCCAGGTGGTTCATTGTCCTCCTCGGCCCTCACATCGCCGTCCACCAGATCCTTGTCCATGTCCTTCTCGTGCTCGTTCATCTCCTTCGACGATCGCAAGGAGTCGCGATTGCCCGTCGATATCCGGAGTCTCTCCACGCTCGATCGATCGCTGGCGCCACGATGGAAGAACGTCGTTCGGTTGCTGGTCCCCCGGTCCGGGCTGGCGCTTCCTGAACGCGAGTCTACGCTTCCGCCGGAACCGCCGAGACGCGTCTTCTCCAACGCCGGGGCCAACGGCCGGCGTGCTTTCTCGCTCGGGCTGCGACTCGGCGAGCCATTTCGTTTCTCTGGAAATTCGGTGGATTGCCGATCTCTTACCTATTTCTCTGATCTGGTTTGATTTGGTTTGATTTGGTTTGATTTGGTTTGATTTGATTTGATTTGATTTGATTTGATTTGATTCGGTTTGGTTTGGTTTGGTTTGGTTTGATCTGGTTTGATTTGATCTGGTTTGATCAGGTTTGATCTGGTTTGATTTGGTTTGATACTGTTTGCAGAAGTCGTGGAAATATTTGGTTCTTTCGCGGATGTTTGGAGCAATAGCCGATGGTTTGCAATTGTTTCGAAGTAGGTTTGTAGAGTGTTTTGAAAATGTTTGAATGAGTTTGAATTGGAATAATTAGCAACAAGCGTTTTAGAATTAGAATATTTACGTTCTGAAGTTTGTTACAACATCAAGTAATGTATTTTTTAAATGGAAATAATTTTAATTAAACGCTGCGTGTTATCGAGAAACTTTGATAAAAGTAAACTATACCTATCGATAGGGAAACGAAGTGAAAAGTTCCATTTGCGAATTTGACGTAACAAAATAAATATATATATATGTTCGCGTGTAATGTCGTAGTTTCGTCGTTAAACGTTAACGACGTAGATAATTCTTTGTTGAAGGTTGTGCACCGTTGTAAATCAAAAATAGCGCTCGTGCGTGATTCACGGTTAAAACTTTATCTCCGATTTCCGGAACACGTTGTACTCGTACCGTAGTATATCTCATCGTTACTTGACGTCGCTTTTACGACTGGCCGTGACTCACCGTTCTCCCCGAAAGATTGGAAGAGCCCCAGCTTGGACCAAGAAAGATCAAACTTCCACAAACACGCGTAAATAACCGTATTTATGATATTGAACCAATAATTATTCGCTGATAATATAATTTCAAATTATTCCAATATCAACATTCGTCGTTAATCGCTCCAAACATTGACCTAGCTTCCGCCAAACAGCAATTATCATTCGATCTGCTATCTGCTTCTGGACAGTTGCTTTTAGACAAATTAAATAACACCCACACAGTTCGATCGCGTTCGCCACCGAATTGAAAGAAATGCGAAAAGAAGTCGCTGTATATGTACGGTGTCGGAAGTCACCTAGTCCAGAATAATTCGCCAAAAACGTCGAACGATCGCGCGCAAACACGCTCAAACCCCACGGAATCGCCGTTCGTACCTATGGGACTGGTTCGTCGATCGATAGGACTGGTTCTCTCCTTCCTGTCTACGGGGCTGGTTCTCTTGTCGATGGGACTGGCCGACTTGTCGCTGGCGGAGCTCCTCTTCTCCACGGGGCTACTACCGGCGCTGAGTCTTTTCCCGTCGTCCTGCGACTGTTGTTGTTGTTGCTGCTGCTGCTGCGGCTCGCCACCCTCCTGTCCAGGGCTGCCGCCATTATTCCCGGCGTTGGCTGCTACTCCTCCGTTGTTGTTGCTCGAGTTGCCAGCCGCTCCTGCACCGTTGTTGTTCCCAGCGCCGTTGTTATTGTTCAACACCACCGGCAAAGCGCCGCGTACGTCCCTCAGCTCGCCGCGGAGCGTGGCGCACTCGCCCCTGGCACGTTCCAGCTCCCCGTCAAGCCGGGCGCCAGTCGCTGCGTTCTCCTCCACCATCACGCGAAATTTTGCCTGCAAAACCAGCAGCCAGACAATGGCACGTTAGACAGAGAGATTTCGCAGGGGGAGAGGGGTGAATGGGTTTAGGCTGAAAGGGGAGGATGTTAATCCTGCGATAATGAGCAGCACGCGGGAGGAGATCTCGTTACCACCGTGAAAGATAATCCATATTCGTGGAAATTTTGTTTTATTGTACGTAAACAAGGGACGGTTGCGAGAGCTGCGGTCGCGAGTCTGCTTAGCTTTCGTTTCGAATCGACTCTGTTTGTAACTGGTGGATCGCGCGTCGTTGAACGAAGGAAATTTTACTGTGGATAGATAGAGTCGTTTTTATCGTCAGAACGAGATTCTCAACTGATCTCGTTAACTCAGCTTTCTACTCGATCTTCAGACAAGATATAAACTTTGTTTTTTTTTTCTTTGGAGATACAAGATAGATACTTTGTTTTTTTTTTTTTTTTTTCTTTGGCTTCGAAACAATTAATCCAGTTAATTCGGACTAAGACAATTTCGTTGCAATTCTCGTTTCTCAGTTCGAAGAATCGGCGAAGAAGACAATTATCGGAAATGAAGATACGATTTTGACTCTCTCAACTGATTTTCCATCAGTCGATCAATCATTTTTCGACTTGTTGCTTCGAAAGAAATTATCTCAAGTCATTGTCAAAATTCTCGATAAACACATTTCAGTTGAACGATCAATAATGAAAAGATGATTGTCAGAACGAAGACACGACCTTCTCAATTGATTTTATTGCTCGTGAAGTCACTTAATCAATCAAGACTACGAATACTTTTTGACTTGTTGCTTCGTGTAGGATCACGCGATGAAAAAAATCGTGTGAAAGATATTTCGTTAGAAAACATTTCTATAATAAATGTCTTAATTCGGACGATTTCGTTTGAGAATTCTCTTTTGAGAAATGTTTTTCAGTTTAGCAAAATGAAGATACGACCTTTTCAACTGATTTTATTGGCTCGTGAAATAACTCAATCAATCAAAATATATGTATATATATATATATATATGACACATACTTTTGACTTTTAGTTTCATGAAAAATATAAAATTTGACTTCTCGTTTTAGTCGAGTAAAAAAAATATTTTGCCAGAGAGGAATTCAGGCGATTTTATTAAAGTATCATTTTGCAGTGTCGAACGACGAATCAATGATGAAAACGACTGTCAGAATGAAGATGTGACCTTCTCAACGAATCACTTAATCAATCAAGATATAAATGACATATACTTTCAGCTTATTGCTTCGTGTGAAAAATCACCTCTGCGTGAAAAATATAGGATGGGCCAAAAGTCACTTCCTACTTAAAACAAATCCGTAACCTTTTCACTGTATATTTAAAAAAAGATTCTTTTCACAGATTAAAGCGCGCTAATTTAAAATTTAATTCAATTAATATTAATTAATACACTAAATAAAATTAGTTTCTTTTTATATTTTGATGTTAAAAAGAAAAAAAAAAAAAAAAGAAAATAGAAGAGAGGGAAGAAACTTTCGGCCCACTCTTTATTTTGGAAGAAAGAAATTTCTCAATAACGAAAACGACTGTCAGAAACAAACATGCGATCTTCTCAACTGATTTCTATTCGCTCGTCAAAGTTACCTAATCGAGACAACTTGTCATTCTACGTGTAAAAAGTATCTCAGCCGAAAGTGCATCTCGATCTTAATTTCGACGAACGAAACGTTTCTCAGCCGAAAAGATCAACGAACGGCGATAAATTTCCCAAAAGGGGAGGGCCGAAAGTTTTCGCCGCGAATTTTGATCTCGGTGAGATGAAATAATGGTGCGCAGCCCCTTATTTGCTCAGCCACCGCCCCGTCTCATCGCGGCGAAAGAGGGGACAAACGAACGGCGAGAGAGGAGGAGAAAACGAGGGAAGGGGGAAGGCATTGAAAGTTCCATGAAGTTGCCAACGAGGTCTGCAACTCGCGGCGGGTAGAGCTACGTTATGCACCGACGTTTCGCCGAGTTACGAACCCGGTTAATGCCGGGTCCGAGGTAAAACACGAACAAACACACACCGCGGGCCCGAAGATAAAAGTTTTGCTTCGACGCGAGCCGCGCAATATTTAATAAGCCTGGCCGCGCGAACACGAATCTCATTGTAAACCCCCCACCCCCCACCCCCTCCACCGACGCCTCCCCCCACCCGCTGCGCCGTTCTCGTTGTACTGACCGTTCCAAAAGCAGTGTTCTCGCCGCTCGGTTCTGTCGTATTGTATCGACTCGCGCCACAGTGCAGAAAGTTCGTGCCTGGTTTCCCTCGGCACGGCGCACAAAGGATCGCTCGGATATTTAAACGTGTGGCTGCTGTCAGTTAATCGACGTACGTAGGACAGCAACAACGTTGATTTTGTAGAATATTTTCTAGAATATTTGAGGAGAATGGGGAAATTGGGTGACGAGAGACTCTCGAAGGTGGAAATGTAGATCGTTGGATGATAGAGAGAAACGAGGCACGTCGAGACGTGCGTCGCTATTGTATTTTCCAGAACGTGCGTCTCGCTTCGAGGGAATTGGGAGGGAATGAGATTGTCGCTAAAGAGAAGATCGACAGATGTAGGGACAATTCGCGTCCAGACGTTGGTTTCTCGCGTGTATATATTTGGAATGTATCTCGTTTTGGTGGAATCGTGATTTTCTTTCGGAATGCGTAACGGTGTGCTTAATTATTTCTAGACGAAATGCACTTGCTGTAAGATTGAGTTAAATTATAAATAAAATGATAAATCTTTTTTTTTTTTTTTCGTTTCTTTGAGAAATTTTTAATTTTACTTTTCTTTGTTTTTTGTTTCGTTACCTCGAGGTATTCTGAAACGTGCTAAAGTTACAAATGTATATATAATTTTTTTCTACCTAAACTTTACGATAAATAACAAAAGCGAATTTTTCTTTTACACAGTGTACTCGAATATATTCGACATTAAACAAAACAAATCCCACCTTTTCTATGACGAGTATAGTCTCGAGGCTGAGGAACATGTCACCTTACTTGGGACGATTAATCCCTTCATCGTTATTCCACCATTGAGAGTCAGAACTTGAAAACAAGCTGTATTCAATAATTTAATTTTCCACGACAAAGTTCCATTTCCCTTAAAAAAAAAAAAAAAAAAAAAAAAAAAAAAAAAAAAAAAAAAAAAACAAAAAGAAAAAAGGAAAATAATTATCTATTGAAACACTGGCCTTGTCCTTCTGCTATCCACGATCCACTTTCTCGCATTTCTGTTGAAAAATCTCGGTTACCAGAACCTCCGCTAACCCTTTGCGCTGGCAACTGGTTGCGCGGACCATAACGAGCGACCGAACCCGTATACAATAAATCGTCGCTTTCTTCTTCATTTGAACATCGCCGGTGTGATGTCACTGGATAGAAATTACCAAGAGGTAATAAACTGATCGGTTCGTTTTGCCTGGGTTACATGGCAACTGAGAAAATGTTGCAATTTGGGACAAAAGACGTGCGTCATCCCAGCGCAAGAGTATTAATCAGAGAGTGTGAGATTAGCTGTGTGAGATTTGGAGAAGAATTGTAATCAAGGGTAGTGGCACGAAGACGGCGGGGCCAGGTTCTGCAGATAAGGCCAATCCTCGGGAATGATGGTGGAAACCCTCGGAACGGAATAATAGATAGAGCTTCTCTTGTTCTGGCTAACTCAGCAGCCAGTCCATTGAGGTAGGTCAATGATTACGGAATGTAGCTGTTGCGGTTAGACAGGAATATCGAAACGAGGTTGTAACGAGGTGCCAGCGTCCGAAAGGCACGCCAGCCGAGATCAGTAAGAGCCTAAGATGATGACGTTTGATCTTCCAGTATATATCGACGTACATTGTATACGTATTTTCGACCACGTCGAGAATTTGTACAGAGAACGCGGCCAGTGAAACACTACTCTGTGAATGAATTGTCGCTCGCGTTTCAATTGCTCACAGATTAACCAGAAATACTAATGATATTAGATCGTAATCAGGCCAATGTGTTCAAATGTTGCTTAAGGAAACAAGAAAGGAAAGAAACAACTTCAATAAACGGATTCGTAAAGTGGAAATCACGTCAACTGCCGACGAGGAAACAATTAACCTCGAAGAGAGGGACAACTAACAGTCTTCAATTTCGTTACACGGCCAACGACGTTTGATCGTAGTCGCTGTAACGGGATGATCGCTTAACGAGATGTTTGATTGCATTTTCGGTGAGATAAGAACCTGAAGGGAAGCACAGAGAATAAAGAGAAAAGAGAGAGAGAGAGAGAGAGAGAGAGAGAGATTTGATAGGTAGCGGTGAGCCAGTAACGTTGGCCAAGTTCCAGGGACACAAAAAGGATAGCCAGTGAGGATAAAAGGCATCGCGAACTTGTTGCGTTCCCAGAGGCGTCTTTCGTTTTCCTTTCGTCGCGCCGAATCCACCCCGGCGACCGTATTCGCCCTTTTCACACCATCGTGAATCGCTGGATCGCCGATAAATTTCTGTTCAATGGGCCTGACCTCGCGGATAATACTCTGTGTGAGTGTTTGTGAGTGAGCCTGACAGATCCTGTCGCCATTGCTCCTTTCGTATTTGACTATGTTTGAGAACACACGCTATTGTTATAGAAATTATGATGATGTAACGTAATTGGCAATAATATACCGTCGCAGAATTTTTACAATCGAAATAAATTAAAATTAAGAAAATTAATTATTAAACGTACTGTGTGTTTGTATGTGAGTCTATCAGGTCCTTTCGTATTTGACTAAGTTTGAGTCTATCAGGTCCTTTCGTATTTGACTAAGTTTGAGAACACACATTGTTACAGAAATTATGATGATGTAACGTAATTGGCAATAATATATCATCGCAGAACTTTTACAATCGAAATAAATTAAAATTAAGAAAATTAATTATTAAACGTACTGTGTGTTTGTATGTGAGTCTATCAGGTCCTTTCGTATTTGATTAAATTTGAGAACACACGCTATTGTTACAGAAATTATGATGATGTATCGTA